AGGCACAGCTCTAGAAAGCAGCCGACCAAGAGCCACAGCCTGTCCTGAGGCCCCTCACAGACACAGGAACACAGAATAAATCTGCCCTTCCAGCTATTAATTACTTTCCAATTACTTCACAATCTCGTTATGCAAAAAAATATGACAAATTGAAAAAAAAACCACATTTTTTTCAGCCTACTCAAAGTGACTGAGTATTCCACAGTCCATTCTTCCAAGCAGATATTACTGTTTCTCCTTCAATTTGAAGAAGACTGTCAGTCTGCTTCTAGGGAAATCTCAGAGACAACAGAGAGTGATTCAAGATATCAAACTGAAGAGATTGCTTCTCAAAAGGGTTACATGTATAAATAATAGCAAGGGATCCCACTAAAAAGAAATGTCCACAGGCAAGAAAAGCTGCTAACCATGTGAGAAACAGAAAGGCTGCACCACACAGAGAAACCAAGGGCCAGGCTGAAATGACAGGGTGATGGGGGAGACAGAGAACAGGGAGAAAAGAGGAAATCTAAACACAGGTCAGCTCAAATGGAAGAATATTTTGAGTACCTAAAAATACAAACACATAAATAAAAGGGCTCTGCTGAAGGAGGATAAGCAGGGGAAAAAAAAAAATCAAAGGAACACTCTCCACACAAACAGATGGAGGAATGAAAAGGAGCATGCATGAGCACAGGCACTGACATCAAAGCAGGATGGTCTTCCAGGAGAGGGAGAGGGGACCAGAATAGCAACACTGGGTGGCACACGAGCTTTAAACCTCAACCCAGGGCTACGAAGCCCAGGGATAAATCATTAGATGTTGGACAAATAAGAAAATATTACCTCCTTCCCAAGGTGTAACAATCTGTTATTAGGACAATCCCACCAGTTGCCCTGCAGTTTTATTTCCTCGAGAGGACAATTATTTATTTCACCATTTATCTTCCTTTTCTCCTGCAGCAGCAGCTGAGAATTGCACTGACAGAACCCTGGGGCTGCTGAAGGCAAACACCAGACCCCCACCAAGCCCACCAGGACTCACTGCACAGCTGCTATGGCAGCAAGCCCCTTATGGACAACATCTTCTGCTGCAATGTGAAAGTGCTTCCTGCAGAGAAACCAAACCAAAGGGCACGGAAAGCACACAGTGTTCCAAGAACCCCTACACCTCAGGCTGCAAGTCTCCAGAAAGACAGAGAACCAATTTTGGTGCAAGCAGCCCAGCCACGTAAAGGTTATGCATGGAGAGCTAACTGAGGAAGCAAAAAAAATCTGAGAGGCAGGAAGAAACGGGGCTGACACACAGTGTACATCCAGCACCACTTCACTGCTGGCTCTGGCAGCTCCTCTTATCAGCAAAGATACCTTTGAAGTGGCTGGCAAGCTTCCACCTAACACTCAAACAAGTGAGACCCTCCACATCGTAACACAGCCCTGGAGACAGATCCCTTCATCCTAAGGCATGAATAGAAAACCTACATGAGACAAAGCCAAGGAACACACAGGCTTCCCATGGCACTGTGAACCCAAACGCTGCCAACACAAACCCTCTGGAAACCTGGGATGTACAGCAACTCAGGAGTGGAGCCACAAAAGGGATCTTAAGTACCTCCTCCTTACCCTGCCTGTCCTCCCCAGCTCGCCTCCTCAACCCCTGCCTGATACAAAGCACTGATCTGAGAGAGTCCTAAATTATAAATGGCCCAAGAAAAGGATCTCATGCCTCAGGAGTTTATTTCAACTGCCCTCAGTAACTGAGGATTTTGTCTCGTTATCCTCTCCATATTTCATGGCATTATTTATGACCCAGTCAGCAATTCCTAAATGTAAGCTATGAGAGCACCTGCAGTCAGCCAGACACAGGGATAACATTTTTAGAAGGTATTTTCCAAACAGAACTATAACAATTAATGTTCATCAGACTTTCAAATACCAAGTGTCATTTTTTTAAACACCAATTCCCTGTGTAGCATGAGACAAGGGCATAGAATCAGAATCATTAAGGTTGGAAAAGACCACTAAAATCATCAAGTCCAACCACCACCCAGGGATGGAGACTCCAGCACCCCCTGGGCAGCCTGGGCCAGTGCCTCAGAGAGCCCCCAGGCCAGCAGCAAGACTGGCAGCACAATTCCACCAAGCTGCAACATCCATTGGAACCCAGTGGAGAGCAGCTCCCCAAGTGCCCTTAGAGCATCACAGCTCCTCCTCCTGCAGGCTGTGCTTGGTTAAACTGCCATGGACTTGAGCTTGACTCTGCTGCCTGTGTTGGAGCAGAGAGGAGAGTATAAACTACATCTTCTTTCAAGAATGCTAAGAAGTGCTGTTTTCTGAGCTGTCACATACTCTGGTAACTCTTTTCCACTAAAAAAAAAACACAAAGGGATGTCTCTAAAGTCTTAAAAAGGATGGAGGAAGCTAAGTGGAGAGGAAAGCTAATGTTATACCAGATTTTTCCCATCAATAGGACTAATTTCCCTTCGGACTAGCATGGCTTTAAAATCTAGGTAGAGGGACAAAAATATATGCCACTCAAATATCCTGTTAAGTCACTGACTTATTCCCATTCATTACCTACAGACACTGGTCAGAAAGGCATCCTGAGCAGCTCTGGAGAAGTGACTTCATCCACTTGTCTGGTTTTTCACCCAGGAAAAGGTATGATTTGTCTGGTTATGGTCCAGAGCTATTCTAAAGATTGTTTGTACTGCTCATGGGATACAGAGTGCACTACAAGAGTGCTACACAAGGGTTTATACCTGGATAGCATTTTTTTAAATCCACAGAACACAAGGGTGATTTGCAGTATTTTAAGCACAAACCACATCTGTTTTCTAGCCTACAGCAGCTTTTGTACCAAGTCCTGCTGCTTCTGGCAGCTCAGGAAGGGAAGAGATTCTAGTGAAAAAGCACCAGTGGCAGAAAATCCACATTCAGCCAAATTTCTCTATTTATCACCTGTTCCCTTATCCAATTATGTGACACTAGATAGGGCAGGATGCAGTTTGTGTCTTTAACCAGCCAGCACAAGTAAAAGTCATTTAATACCTGTTTTGGCCTTCAGCCAATTTGGTATTCCTGACAAACACTCAGACAACAAGTAGTCAGAATTTAGTAAAAAGTGCCTCTTGTTTGCACAAATTAATACAGAGTTTGTGTTTGGTCTGTGAGAAAGACACCAGAGGAGTATTTTATTGGTGGTCAGTTATTTGTTTGCTTTTATTGAAGCCCAGCTGCTCGAAATAAAACAAACCACTGCAAACCCAGGCTCATACAAGGGGCTGAAAACTAAGATGCTCCTTTGCAGCCAAACCAGGATAATATCAGTTTCCATGCACTTCTTTGTCGAGGCATTTTCTCAGCCACCTTCCTCAAGCACAGCCCTTGTTGAAATTCAGTGGGGAGATTACTTATCCTTTGGAAGGATTAGAGGAATTGAAGAGTAACTGCCATTCAATAATCCCATGTAAGTATCTAATCAACCATAATGTAATTACCAGAAAGTTTTAAAAGGTCAAAAAGGCCCTCGTGTGATGTTACTTGTAAAAGAGAAGGTCCCTTCTCTGCATGGGCAATGTCTCAAAAAAAAAAGAAGTAGAAGAGAAACAGAAGGTAGCACTTGAATATATTTTTCATACTCCATTGCTATCCACTAAAAACTCAAGAAATACTCAGAGGACAAGGAACACAGCAGAGCACTTGCCCTTGTTTCCATTCTCCCATAGAAATGAGTTCCAAACACACACAAAATACCTGCTGTAAAAGAGCAAAGGCATCCTGCTCTCCAGCTAACACACCACGAGATGCTGCTCCTCCAAGTGTATCCTGGCATGAAGAATCACACACAACATGGAGCACGGTTCATCTCCCAGCAGTCTCAAGGAACTGCATTGTATAGACTCTCTTTATCAGTTAAAGCAATGTAGAGATGGTAAGAAATACCTCAAAACACTCCTTCCTCAAGGAATTTTAGAAGGATTGTCAAGACCAGAGTGAAAACCAATGAGGCCTTCAATTACTGCCAACTGCACCTAAGCAGATTCTTATTATAAAGTCACAGACTACTCACATGACTCTTTTTTAATAGAACAACTGACACCACTGAAGGCAAAAAGACAGACATGAAGGTACACCTGGAGTTTTTGCTCCTCTTGCATTTCTCTCTGAGGCAACATGATTGAGGATGAGTGTCCACAAAAGTCTCCTTCAGAAAGCTCCAGTCCATCTGCAGCCCCCTTCTCTAGGCCTTGCAACAGTAGAAACAACACTCCAAGATCATGGCACATGGCAAGGGGGTGAGGAGTGGGGGAAGAGCATTCCCAGTTACAACTGCAATGTTTTTAACTAGCAGATGTTACAACGATTGACCAACTTGTGAAGAGACCAAGTATTACCCTTTAATAGGAGTCTCAAAGGTTCCATATCGTGTTTCTGCAACTGGAAGAACAGATTCTTAACAACAAAACACCATCCCACACTGCCCCACCTTTATTTCCCAGGTGGAAATCAAGACAGAAGGAGGGACAAGGCTAACAAAAGAGAACCCAGCTGCATTTTCTCCCTTTCCACAGAAGGACAATACACCCTTTTATTATCTAGCATGGTAAGAATTCTCCCTAGTTTTAATGTAACAGTAGTTTCCCTTCCATGGCAGGTAGAAATTTTTCATTAGAGGGCTGTTCATGATTATATTCAGAGCTGAAGTTCTGAAAGGTTTCTCCTTATTTAATAAAAAGTCCCAAATGCACACAAAACTGTGAGCAGGTTAAGAGGGAAAAACATGGCCTGAAGTTAGACCAAATAATCTCCACTGACCACTCTTGGGAAAACCCTAAAATACTAGAAGAAAATCACTAAAGAAATCAAAGGGAAGTCAACCACAGCTATCCACAAAGAGGAGAAAAAGCCCCGTGTGATAGGCACAACCAACAACAAACTGATCCACCAGAAGTCATGGCTAAAACTTCACACTTCAGAAGGGTCAGAACGAACCCACAGGTGTTGTAGCACTCCTTTACCTTCTTGAAGAGGCGCCCCGAGTCCTCGCTGACCTGCACGAAGCGTGGGATGATGTTGTTGAGATAGATGTCACTCAGGGTGGTGTGGTCCCTGCTCTCCCTCTTCACCTGATTCAGCAGGAGAGGAGATTCCAGCAGTTGACTGGCGACAGCACGTTCTGATCCTTCCTAGAGAGGACACAAAAAGAGAAACAAGAATTGGGTAGGACTTCAACTGAAGTGGACAAAACTGTTCTGTTCATCATGTTCTCTGTCTATAAATGCTGGAAAGCCAGCTACAGGATGTATGGATCTGCTGAGGGAGAGGAGAGCAGAGGAAGGCTATAAAATGACTACAGCACAGAGAGAAAATCACCCTCAGTTACACATGCCAACATTCACATGGCCCTGGGCTTCTGTCCCCCGACAAATACATCAGGCAGATGCAAGCCACAGGATGCCAAATGGAGGCTCTCATTTTTTTCTTTTGAATTCAGGATTTTGTGCATCAATTCCAGTGCCCGAGGGCGAGCGGTGGCTCCAGTGCCTGACAAAAGGGTTCACAGAGCTGCTCGACTTAACCACAAGGAAAAGACTGCAAGCACCCAGTTAGCTGAACAGCATCTGCATAGGAAACAAAATGTTATGTTTCATGTACAAGGACAATTCTGTGCAAGCATCTGCATCTGTCCTGAGCAAAGGAGAAAGCCACGTTCACACAGCAAGCTTTATTTTCTCATCTTTGAACCTTCTCCACCTGATTATGGCTGATTCAGTCTGCACCCTGCAAATAAGCAACACAAAGGGCAAAGGGGAGATGAGAGGAACCCTAGCAAAGGAGTAGGTCGTTTCTTAAGGCACCATTTGAGAGGAGATGAAAGCAAGGACACTCACAGTGATCCCACAGGGTGCTCCCACAGCAGCCTCTGGCACTGGCAGATCTGGCTGCAGTCTGAACTACACCATTTACTTCTCTTTAGATCTGTTTATCCTTTGTTTAGAGTGCAATAATATTTATTTAGACAGGAGCAAGTCAGATCTCTGGTGGAAAGCCAAAGTTCTTCTTGATTATTGCACATCATTGTATCAGATATATTTCCTCTTAAAAGAAATGCAGCTTAATTCCCATGAAAAAAAGGAATATTCTGCATGTAAAAGGACAGTGAGCTCTACTGCAAGAAACATTTGACCCTATAGAAACAAGAAAACAAAGCCATGGCAGACTTTCATTACCATTCTCACATCATCAGTGGGTGGATGTGCAGTGCAATATGAATAAATTTTATATAAAGAACCATTTCAGAACAGCTGATCTTGACACTTGGTGTCTTTTCCTTAAAAAAAAAAAGAAAAGAAAAGCTCAGGAAATGACTGCAGCTTGTGATCTGGACTGCTTCAAGGTTGGGGTGGGAGTGGTGTATAGTGGGAGGGGATCTAAAAAGGATTCTGGGCTTTTGTTTTTTTTAAAAAAAAAAAAGGGAGAAGGCACAGATATTATTTAGAGACAATCTTTCCCTTTGTACTGTAGTGTCCTGTACTGCAGATCCTGCTGACACGTAAAACCAGATGGAATGATCAAAATGCAGAACTGTACAAGGTTGAAGCTGCCAGATGTTAAGCCATATAAATCAAACAGTTGCCCTTGATCTGCAATCAGCGCTTGGAGCATACTGTTTGTTTTGTTAATATGCCAGAGAGCTAATTAGTAACTCTGAGACCTGGCTAGTAGAATTGTGAATCTATGGGTCCCCACCAGCCTGCAGCCAGCCCTTGCAGGGGCCATATATTCTGACTCCTGCGGAAATGGAAATGAAAGCTGCCACCACAAAAGTAGGTAACATACACATTTTTTTTTATTATTATTTAGGTGAGACAAGGAACAACACCCAGATTTCTTCTGCTAAAGAGAGGGCAGGAGCCAGAAAGGCATCTCCAAAAAGAGCTCCTCCAAGAAGCAGCACGGGGTTGGAGACATACACATCTCTACCAAGAGACCAGGGAGAGGGCAGAAGCAAACTAAATAAGACAGTTTGTGGATGGCTGTAAAGAGTTTATGAAGGATAGCATTAAAAGGTGTTAAAAGCTGGTTGGTTTGCTCCTTTCCACCAATGATACTAAAGTACCTTACACACAGACTTCATACTTCCCTTCTAATGCTGGAAGAGCTACAGCAAGTGAAAATTAATTAATTACCATAAAAAGGCTGAGAATGAAAAGCTCAGACTCTCCACCAGCTGATCTTGCTTCTAGCTGTTCAAAATCCTGCCTCAAACCCCTTAAGAGCCAGTTACTGCTTCATCACTTAGCTGCTGCACCCTCTCCCTACCACCAGGGCAGCTGCACATCTCCTCCCAGCAGCCAGAGGTCCAGCTGTGTGCAGGCTGCTATCTCACCTTCTCAGGCTTTGCACCATCCACTGCACCAGCTGCTAACCCAAAAACTCAGAGGTTTTAACCCTTGATATCTCCCACTGCATTCTCCATCTCATTATGAGTTTTTGCTGTTGGCTCCACTAAGAGCACCTGGCTGTTCATGGATGTCCCCACTGAGGGACCTGAGCAGACTGGAAGAGCTGTGAGCAAACAGGGTTTAGAGCACAAGTCTTACAAGGTGTGGCTGAGGGAGCTGGGGGTGCTGAGCCTGGAGCAAAGGAGGCTGAGGGGAGACCTTCTGGCTCTGCACAGCGCCTGACAGGAGCCTGGAGCCAGGTGGGGGTCGGGCTCTGCTCCCAAGGAACAAGGGACAGGACAAGAGGAAACGGCCTCAAGTTGTGCCAGGGGAGATTTAGGTTGGAAATGAGGAACAAATTCTTGCCCAAAAGGGTTGTCCAGGGCTGTGCCAGGCTGCCCAGGGCAGTGGTGGAGTCCCCACCCCTGGCGGGGTTTCCAAGCCGTGGAGAGGTGGTGCTGAGGGACATGGGTGAGTGATGACTTGGCAGTGCTGGGGGAAGGGTTGGACTTGATGATGTTGAAGGTCTCTTCCAACCAGAACGATTCTATGACCAAGGGTTATGACCACAGACACATGCAAAGGACCAGAGAGCAGCATGGTACGAGTGCCTTGCTTTCCAGAGAGAACTGGAAGACCAAATGGGAACCAGAAGAGATGCAACAGTTAACTGGACAACTCCCAGCTGTCCAGGCTGCCCCACCACAACACCCAGAGCTATTCTAAGGCAGCACATAGCCTGAATACCACGAGCCCATGAAAAGCATGGTGAGTAAAATTGCTGGTGTCTAATGGCGCCAGATGGGTTGTTGACACACGCCGTGTGGTTAGACATGAAAGGCCATCCTGCAGGAGAAAATCATCCCAGCCCCACATGCTTCCAATCTGCCACCAGGATTGTCACCTTCGGGTCTGCGCAGCGAGCGCCGCACCCTGAGCTCCACCTCGAGCAACCACAGCTCTGCACACTTCAACGTTTTTCCTTCAAATTCCTTTCATTTCCTGGGGTCTGCTGGTTTCACTAACCCCTTCAGTACCTTGCTTCAATCATCTGCCTTCCTTTTGTACAGGTTCCATGTTTTCACAGCAAGGCTCTTGTGGGAAGCGAGTCTAAACCTCTCCATTATTTGCTAGTGACAATCTTCCTAGTGCTGGCAAAAAGCAGATAAAGGCAGATCTTAAACCAGAAATGAAAGAGAGGAGGAAGGAGGCAGTTATGTGCTTCCAACCTTCCAAGTAGCCTTTCAAACTACACACACATTAACTGTTAAAGCACCTCCAAAAATGCAGCATTCTCAGGGGTGGAACACAGCAACAGTTTTCACAACACAGAGCAGAAGTTATACAACTGTTTACAACAGACCCTCTTCTATCATAACCACAAGCAGATGGCAGAGAAGCAAATTGTGATTTTCATTAACCATTTCAATCCTCAGAGGAGCTGGCAAATATACTCTGCTTCCAGTTCCATGTCACCACAGAGGAGGGATGAAAAAGGGGAGAACAGGGGAGAGGGACCACTGGTGACAGTCGAGAGCAAGCTCCACTCACTCTCACAGAGCCTGCAGAATGACTGCAGTCAGTGTTCCCCCTTAAGCAGCAAAATTGATGAGATCAGCCCAAAAGCTTTAGGACCTGGATATGAACTTTGCCAAAGTGCTGGTGATTTCACATTTACTACAACTATTTGAATCAAACACCCCCTGAAAGGAGAGGAGGAGGAGGAGGAAGATGCCGAGATCCAAGTTTATTTCAAGCACTATTTATACTAGTTTAAAGATCGTGTGATGATAGCAAATCTGGAGAGTTTATTTAGGTTAGCCTAAATTACCCCAGATCACAGCAATTGGGGGTGTTTGGAAGCAGGAAGAGGAAGTTGTGCACAGATTTTTAAGGAACCACAAAGTATGAAGCTCTGTGGTTTCTTGGGTGTTATCTTGATCGGGTCCTGTGCAACTTCCACTTCAAAGCTTTCAGTCGCTCTCAAAAGATCAGAAGGGAAGATTGGGTCCCAAGTATCTGAAATGTCTTAATTAAATTACTCATTCATACGAGGAACTCACAGACAATCCAAAGGCAAGCAGGAGAGAGCGACGAAGGCCAGTGACAGTTGGGCATTGCAGGGTAACCCCATTCAAAGCTACAGCAGAGCAATTATCTTAAAAAACAACTCCTACCCCCCAACTAGATGAAAAAAAAAAAACAACCCAACATAACAAAAACCCACACCCACAAACCAGGAATGGGTTTCCATAAGGAGTGCAAGACAAAGGAATGAGTCAGATGAGAATGAAAATATTACTAAATAGAAAGAGAGAAACATTTACATTAACATCAGCACGTCGCATCACCCGTGTGAACAGAGAACTTCTCTGGCCATCCTTCCTTTGAACTGAGGTTTTTAAAGCAAGTCTCTTGGTGGTACATACAAAAACTGAAGTTACCTGTTCCACCTCCCCCAGAATATTCAGGATCTGTTTCCTAGAGGTGTGTAATAGCTGTTTCCAGACCTGGTACATCCCAAAACAGTGATCAAGACCCGGGAAATGGAGAAAGTGATTTATTTCCACTCAGCAGACCAAGCTGCACACGGGACCTTTCCCACCCCAGCAGTGACCCGTGGGCTCAGGTCTCTCAGCTCTGCAGGGTGCACACTCTGCAGTGCTCACCTCACACCCAGCTCACCAGTACTGCCTAAAATTAGATATGAGGTGAAGGCAGAGATGCAAATGTTTTCACATCTATGCAATTGTCAAGTCCACCCTGCAAACCATCAGAGCTAGAGCCAAACGAAGGGCTTGAGCAGCAATGGAACTGTTTCTTACACACCTTTCCAAACCTGTCTGAATTTTATCCTCTGCATTGTGCTCCACAGGAGTAGTTACAGTCCTACCAACTCACTGCGACAGTGGGGTCACTGATATTGTGAAAAACACCACACAGATCCTCCCTGGGGTTTTACATCAATTTTGACTGGTCATGTGTCCCTAGGTCTGGGGTTTCAATGAGGTCACTGAATAAATGAATGCTTCATTCTCAGAAACATCTTCCAAATGATGTTATTTGAAAGACTGAAAAAAAAAAAATACTCAGGGCTCAGCTCCATCAAAAAGAATCACAGGTCAACATAGCCTATGACAATATTTATCAAATAAAATGATAATAACAGCAACAGCAGCATAACCAAAGACCATACGACCCCAAAGCTTTTGTCGATACCTCCCTCACAGCCTGGATCATCTCTCCTTTACAGAAAACTTTTCACTTTTAAGAAAACCAAAGTTAAACATCCCTGCAAGCTGCTCATTAAAATCCAAGTTTGATTTCCCCTTAAAGTCTTCCTGGCACAGTTCACTGTTAACTGAAAATTTTGAGAATTACAAGCATGGACATACACGCTGCTCCCTGCCCTGCTCTTCCAAGAGATTCCAGTTATGAACATCTGTTGTTTACAAGTGCTCAGCCTGAAGGTTGCCAGACTTATTCTGCATCTTCTACTTCAAGGCAAAGGCTGCCAGAAAGCCATCTGAATTTCATGCTGGGATATCCTGGACATTCAGCTCTCCAGCTGAGAATTGCTACTCAGTATCCTACTTCCAAAAATTATCTTGATTTAAAATATGGCCTTAAAATAGCATTTTTCTTTTAGTCTTCCTTTTTTTTTTTTTATTTTCTTCCCCCATTGTCTCCCTTGACAGGGATCACTGAAGGTTTGCCACCTTCCTCTGAAGATGGAAGCCAGACCCCCACCAGAGACCCCCAAGACCCAAAGGCAAGACAGACACCTGCTGAGCTGGATGCTGTGATTTAACCACTACATCAGAGACCTTTCATTAGGCAGATCTTTAGGGAGCAATGACTATAACCATCTTGTGACCAACAAGCTCTTGTAACAACCGAAGTTATAAGACTTGGTCTGTGAAATGCTTTTTTTTTTATCCCAGTTCTTACATCTTGTCCAAGGATATTTACCAATGGGTGCAGAAGCAGCCTTGCCAAATACACACATTTAGATGACTCCTCTCTTTAATAGTCTGTTCTAATTGAGAAAACGTTTTTAAAAGAGAATAGGCAAAGCAAGGTCTAACAGCCATGGTAGAGCAGCTAAAAACCAGTAAAACCTGGGACACATCCAACTGTCATCAGCTCGTATGTCACCTTGGCTAAACCAATCTGTTCCCCTTCTTCGAAGACATAAAATGAGAATAACACACACCTACCTCTGTAAATCATTTTAAGATGCTCCAGTGAAGCTAGCTTCAAACTGTGCAATGATCAAGAACCCTTTAACTCCATCACCAGCTCTACAGTTTGCTGTCAAGACCCAACCACCTGCATCTCCAGACCCATAAGGAGAACGCAGCCACCCGGGCACCTTACCCTCTGCTGCAGCCACATCTAAGAACCACCAGCACCAAGCAGTGCACGTGCCCCAAAGCCAGCACAAGCCTGCACTTCACATTGCTCTTTCCTGGAATCGTCTGCTTTGACCAGCTTGGAGCTGGATGGTGGAGGAAGCCACACAACCCAATTTCAAGGGTCAGCCTGAAGCCTCCTGCCCTTGACAGCAATCCCTTAAATGAACACATTGGGAGCAACTTGGCAATTACATAATAGCTCTCGAGTATGCAAGCACATGCAAATTACAGGGTTGCTGCCTGACAGATTTCCTCCTTGACTGTGTGTGAGGAGATCTAAACCCAGCGAGTGACACGGTGACAGTCACTGAATGATATGGTCCCTTCTGACATAATGACCACGCCAGGGGAAGAACGTGCTATTACTGGGTATTTATAGGGTCACAGCCAGGAGATTACAGAGCAGCCACCCGCCTGGGCACATCTCCTAGTCATGTAATACCAGGCTCCTGAGGAGGAGAGATCTGATGGTTGCCTTTGATCAAACGGTCTTCTGGGGGCTTCCAAATGAGATTACAGCTTCAGCATCTACAGGAACGATACCAGCCAAGTTACTCCTCACTGTTCAGACAGAGCTGAACTATTCAGCAGTGTTGAGGATGGGTAATCATAATTGCAATTGATTCCTTACTGATCCCTTAGATATTCTGACACATTTCTGAACGTTACAGCCAGCAGACACAAATGACAAATAAAGAATAGATGGAGCTACCAAATAAGTCAGCTTTACAACTGTATGCTGCTGCTCTGACAAATGCTGCCCACAAACACAGCTAAACATTAATTTTTTCCCTTATTCCAACTCTTGACCAAATTAACAACTTGTACATTTGGGACTCAGACCTTGCAGAGGTAACATATTCCAAGAGCAAGATGCTTTGCTGCAAGGAGCTGTGTACTGCTAACGTCAGTGAAATCAGGAGCCTGAGCAGCATCAGACCTCCCTCTGCAAAGAGAAGTGTGACAGATGCTCAGTAACAGGTTTCAGAGTATTTAGGGCAACATCCTGGACTTGACCAGAAAAGCACGAACATTTAATTCAGAAATTCAAGTGGAAGTTTGATGTGCTGATAAAATCACCTGTCCAGTTCAGGCTCCACTCAATAGCCAGGATATCCGAGGTCAGTTTTGTCCAGGTACAACTTTATAAAGCTCATCTAAAGTACAACCAGCTCAAAGACAGGGGTAGGACTCAGTGAGGCAAAGGCAACAGAACAAACAAACAGAAATTTATAAAGCCTGGAGTATCATAGCAAGTGTACTTAATCCCCATGAAGGATGACACCATATTCTGTTCAACTATGGTAAAAAACTTCCACATGAAAACTTCACTCTGAATCTCAAAATGGGAAGTAAGCTCTATACAACTTGCACAAAACTGAAAGCTGAATACAAAACCATTTCTGATGGGCTGTTTCCTATCATGTAATATCAAGGAAATCACCTCAGTTTTCACCAGAAATAACAACAAAACGAACTGAAAAAGATCAATCATAATGCAAAGGGAAATTATCGTTTGAGACATCATTTCTTCAGTGCCAACTTAAAGGCATGTGGAGAATAGGCACAGCTTAGAGTTATAAGAAGATTTTTCACTGTACAGAAAAAGAAAAAAATACTTAAGACAACTACAGCTCTGTAGATATGCAGAATAACTCCTCTCCAACCTGTCAAGCTACCTAAGCTCGCGAGTTCTGCTTCCCCCACAGCGTAGCACAATGTGTGTTTTAAACTAAGTGAATGGCATCAAAGCTGTACAGAAAGGAAACTAGAATGGTGCCTACTTAATGGCTTTCATAAAAAGAGCTCCTGGTGGAAAGGGAAAGCTGATAGATCCCCACATCTACACAGCAACAACCTAAAAACAAACACACAGATCATGGCCCGACCCAAACGATGCTAAAAGTGACGTTGCACTTTGGGCGGTGGCAGACCCAGATGGATCCTCTCAGCCCAATCTGTCCAAAGCAGAAATGACTCAGATCCCAAAGCTGCTTTTGCTCCGTGTTTTGCCCAGCTGCCTCCCTGACAACAAAACCTGACAGGCTCGTGCACTGCCCAGATGTCAGCTCCAGGAGCCCCGTGGCTGGGGCTTTGTGCTGGCCACCTAGTCACGGGGCTGCTGTCTCCATGGCATGCAACTTGTACCAGTCCCTTCTTCATCCACAGGACAATTGTCAGTAAGAACATCTTTAAATTTTCACCAAGCCCCATCAGCTTAGTATCTAGGGATTCCCCCCCCAGATAGTTCAGCTCTATCTGGAAGTACCATTGGCCTTATTTCTCTACTGGTTTGAAGTGATAGCGGCAGGGATACAACACTTAAATCCTGCATTGAGTACATGTAGGATATTGAAAACAGAGCAGCAATGGCAAATCACAGCACAGAACAGATTAGAAACAGTTACTCTTAAAAAAAAACCCAACAGATCAAAGCCACTGACACTGAAGGAAATCCTGGCTTTGTCCATCAAATCTGGTACGCAGCTTTGCCCACCTTCCCCCCAAAATTACTCCTTTTAGACATGCCAATTTTCACCATTCCATTCCCTACTGACAACAGAGGACCTACTTTGTCAGACCAGGAATCACTGAAATGAAGCGAGCAACCCAACTATGTAGAAACATGAAATGGGTTCTGGGTTTAACACAAACTTGGGAAACATTTTATTCTGACATTCACAGCAGTGCTGGTACCTACATTGGCTGTACCAGCTCTCTTTTTGCATTCCTATCCTTACAACCACATCTACAGGGGGGAAAAAAAGGGCAAAAACAAAAAGGCAAATACTCTACTTGAATTGCTGGTCTTTGGTGCTCCTAGTTTTAGCCAGGAATCTCTCAGCCAACTTCTCCAAATTCCTTGAGTAATCCATCTCAATCTCTGCCTTCTTGCGGAAGAAATCCTGCAAGTCCTGCAGTAACTGGACCCGAAGCTCACACTGCTGGTCAAGGCATTTCAGCTGCTCTACCAATTGGGCACGGATCTCTGTAACAAATAAAAGCACTAAAGATTAAACAAAATCCCATTAGAGAAAACACCATCAAAATTCTCCAGTAAAATATAGTTAAAAATATGTTCCCTCATTAGTAATATGTCAGTAAAGCTCCGTTAGGAGAACTACATCTGCAGGCAGAAGATGGTTGTGGATGCACCAGCTGCAGGAAAAGCCAGGGGAGAACCTGCAGCCCAGGGTGCAGCCCCCCAGGTCAAGCCCTGCTGCTGAGGACTGCATCCATTACGAGTGTCAAGTGCATTTTTGGCATCAAGAAGAAGTGGTCACTGCCTAAAAATGTACTGAATCTGAGTCTGGAAAAAGGACTGAGTGCTGCAACACTCCACGTCAGCTCAGAAACTCACTTCAGGGAATTTCTACCGGATTCTTTTGCAGGCTGCTCTTGATGCAGAAACAAGACGTTGCACACGCTGGGGCACTCCCCAAAGGCACAGATTTTGGATTACTCTGTTAGTTACTGAGTCTCCAGCTGTACAGCCCTCATTATAAACCAAGTCATCAAAATAGATAAAGACACTCCTTCAGAGAGCCCACACGACAGCACTTCCCACTAGGGAATTATCTCCAGGAAGATCATTTTTCTTTTTAAAATATCTGCAACAGATCTATGCCTAATGGACCTACAACACACACAGATACAGGTGTTAATATTGCTATTGTTATGCATAGTTATCACTGAAGAGATCTATTTGTATTAATACAATCATTTACAAAACATTTTCAAACATTTTAAAAATATGAAAACTTCACCCTTTAAACAAGGGTGTTCTCCTTATCTTACTGATTCTGAATTTCAGGGAGAGTGAAATTATTTACTCATGGTCAAAAAGGACAAAAAAACAGCACAGAAGTGTGTCAGTCAGTCTAAAAATGCAGAAATATCCAGTGATGCTGCTGGAAGAAGTTATTTGGCTTTTATACAGGCAATAAACTCAACATGAAAATAAAACAATCACTTCCAACTCAAGGTCTTTGAGCACTCAGACTTTACAGACGTCTGCTATTGCTTGACTGTTAGTTCTGCTCTTTCCAAACGTTTTCCAAGCTGTGTTGTTCCAAACTGAATCTAAAATAAGGAACATTCAGGACCTGAACATGCACAGCTCTGTTTGTATCTATGCATTGCAACCACAGGCACCCCCAGCTTCACCAGCACAACTGAAGATGGGAATCATTTCCCAAAGGCAATTTTTTAATCAACTACCTCACTGCTAATTCCTGAGACCCGTGCTAAGAGAGGGCAGCTTGTCCTCCTCAGCATGCCCATCCCCTTGCCCTGATGAGCTGTGAGCATCACTATGAGCATCAGCTGCCTTGAGCTGTGCTCACATCTGTGGGAACAGTTTCAGGGGTCCAGGATTTGCAGTGGAAAAAGCATGCCTTGTTATTTTAGGGACCCAACCCCCCAAAAATCACGTGTCTACAAATACAGCTACTAGTTAGGCTTGCCAAAACAAAAATACATCATCTGCAGAAACGCAGGGTCTTCAAGCATGAAGATGACCTCAATTAGCACTTTAATTTGGCAATACCACTTCTCTGAGACTTGTAGCACCCAGGGGCTCCTGAAGCTTCCACCATGAGGGGCAAATACAAGCACCAAGGTCATATCACAGAACCAAATGTATCATCTGCACAGTGTGATTTTTTGGAAAAAGTCAGTGATTCTATTACATGAGTGAAGAGCAGACAGCATGGTTAACAGAGGAGTAGGGTGGGAATAGAGAACATCAGATACAGCTCAGACAGGTGCTGGTGTGGGGGTCACCCACCCTTCTCTGTGCTACAACTGCTGGATCTATTCTGAGGGCAGCAACCTGGCAAACTCTGAAGTTCCCCATCAGTCATGTTCTCAACTGAGAAACCACCTCCAGGAGAAAAAAGCAGAAAGACAAAGGACCACTTCCAAAACCCCTCATAGCCCTCAAAGACTAGAAGATCAGCAGAACATGTGTATTTTAACTATAAAATCACAACAGAGCTCAGGCTCTTGGTTCTTAATACAGGATCCTTCACACATGGCTCTCCAGCTAAAGAGCAGAAAGAACTCAGAACCGTTTCCTTCGGGAAGAAACGCAATATCAGCACTTTTTCTTCATAAATAAAGTCAGTGTTTTTGGAGGGGAGCAGCGACAGCTGATGGGGCTGCCTGCAGGGAACAATAACCTATTCAGCTCCAGCTTATCGAGGCTGCGGCGCTGGGCTGGAGAAGGGCAACCTTGCTCATCTTTCAAAAACACACCACACGGTCCTTCGCCACAAAATAAAATCAAGAATGCAGGAATTTCCTGAGGCTTACTGGGCTTTCGAGAGCATAAATGTCTGCTTGTTTTCCCATTGCTTACACAAGCAAAAGAGATTTTTTTCATCCTTACTGGGAGAGCAGAGCAGGGCAGAGTCAGGCCGGGCGTGCTCTCATCCGCGGGTCACCGTGTTCCACGGGACCTCCTCGTGTCTGCAGTCACAGCCACCACTTCAATTTTCACTTCACTGCATTCACATCTTTTAATTTACACAGGTTATGAGGTTAACAGCCACTCTAAACACCAAAAAGCCTTCCACCTCCTCTCCTTTTCTAAAACCTTAGCGATCCCACCCACTGTGATCGTTCAAGGCAAGGAGCAGCCTCCTGGAGACCACGCTCCTGCTGCCAGTGCTTCAAGTGCCTGAAGGTGAATAAGCATGTTTAATTCAAGGTCAAGATGCCTGTAGCACAATTAGGATTAAAACCCAGGTATTCTTATTCTCTCACTAAGCCTTGCCCTGGATGGCAGAAGCCTTTCTATTGTATTTTGAGCTCACAGGGCTGACGATGACATAATTAAAATGTCCCTGGTAGCAGCAGAAGAGTTTTCCAGCCCTTGAAAACAAACCATTTACTCACTTCCATCAGCAGATCATAAAGTCACCTAGGTCAGAGGGACAGATATTCTATACTGCTAAACAGCTGCATAATTTTACTCTTACCCTTTCTGCAACTACCTTTTCAACATTCCCTGTAGCACTCAGCAGGCACGTCTAGTTTTTAATGAATTCAAAGGGTAAGGAAGGACCTTCTACCTTCTGTATTTTAGACACACTTGTAATTCTCAAACATTTATACTCCATTTCCCTTTGTTTCCTCATTTTAAACTTCAAAGCATATAAAGTATTGATAGGCACAAATGACACCACATTATGTGAAGGTAACTGTCCCTGAATAAAATGCTGGCATTTAAGTGATGGTGCTTGTAATACTTCCATGGAAAGGTCATCACCAGTAGCTTCCATCACAGGCAAGTGAAGAGATACACCACATTTTAAGGTACCACAATACCTGGCCATATCTTCAAAAAAATCTGTATGATCTTTATTAATTGATTGCTCCTGCTTGAGAAAAACCCTTTCTTTTAAACTGGATGAATGATTAGGTGGCTAATTGCATGACAAACCCAAGGTCCCAAAGCACCTCTACTCTACAATTTCTTGGGAAGGATCCAGTAAACAGAATTAATAGTAGTTTATCCTTAATTTTAAAAACTGATTATTATTTTTTGATGCTGGAGTGGGCTATAAGGACTGTGGTGCAATGATGGACCTGTACTGAACAGTGGGGGCTTCTCGACCTACACCAACCATGAGAGGGTTTCTACAAAGCTCCTGGCAAGAATCTGAGCTATCAGAAAACAGTTACATCCAGAGCAGATCTACACTGGAACTCCACCTTACTCTTCTACAGCATGCAACATTCAGCTTCTGGAAAAGAACTTAGGAAAATCACTTTTTTAGGCTTAAGCATCCTATAAACTGAAGTTGGAAGTACAGAAGCAAAGAAATTTCTGTACCAGCACATTCACCCTTCAGTAGGTCATGTACAGAGCAAGAAAGCTGAACTCAGACCCAGGAGACCTCCTTGCAGTCATCTCATGTACTCTGAGCAATGTTCCTGCTCCAGGCAGGATCATCTCCCTAGGCAGGGCTTCAGCTCTTCCCAGTGATAAGCTGGAACTGCTCTGACTGGATAGCAGCACCATGAATCACACCCTGCACGGCTCAGAGCACCAGGGCCAGGCACAGGGAGCCTGAGCTGCTCTCCAGTATCGAGCCACATCTCCCTCTGCCCACACTGGAGCTTTCCCAAGATGTTCCCACCCCGTCCCAAATGCCATGCTGTATAAAAAGATGACAAGCTTGGGAAAGGAGTGGGATGACAACAAAACAGAACCACCAACCCCCAGCTCCCGCCCAGATGACACAGCAGCCCTCTCACCCACACAGATCTGCTCCTCTGGCAGGGCTGAACTCCAGAACCCTCCAAATTATCTCCTGGACTTCATGGTGCCCCATCCTCCTCCCCTGGCAATGCCACAGGCACGTCCAAATCAAAGCAAAACAGAACCAAACCACGAGTGGGAAGGTGGAAGTCAGCAGATTCAAAACCTTCACCTGTAGCTCAGTTCCTCCTGACTTTTCAGGACCCCCAAATGAGAAGCAATTACGCAGAGGGATTGGAGGACACCAAACATCAAGTGGCACCCACAGCTCAGACACAATCTCAGCTTTCAGGCTCCCTGGCAGCACATGAAAGACAAAGCAGCCCAAAAAGAACAAAATGTCCACTTCACACAGAAAACCAGTGCGGTAATTTTACATCTTGCACCTGATCTGTCTCCTGAAAGCTGCCACACAGGCGGGTTCTGAAGAGAAAATTATTATTTCAAAGAGAAATAAGTTGTTATTTCAGAGAGAAATAATGGTGGCACAGACATCCAGCCACCTGCCTCCCTTCACAGACCCCATGAAGTTGAGGGGGAAAATTCCAGTTTAGTTTGAAGTTGATACTCCATTCTGTTTCCAAAAATTCCAATAACCCATGCTACAGCTTCCAACAGAATTTAAATATATAAATAAGCTTTAGAGAATCATTTGGACGACCTATGTGGACATACTCACAGCACATTGCTAATGGCTAAGAATTGTTCACATTTCCCCT